AATTTTGTTGATTGTTTAGGAAATAACCGTGTTAATATAGCAACAGTTTTGAATCGTTTTTAAGCAGCGATATATAGTCAAATATATACAGAGGAAGCAGAAATATTATTAAAATTTGAATACGAGGTATGAATAGGGACAGTTCGAACCATGAAAATTATTTATTATTGTTCAATCAAGAATAAGTGAGCGAACTACTGTTGAATAGTCTTGTCGCTAAAAACATTTATCAAGATTGGTTACTGAAGCCTCCGAAGCACAAGAAATATTACAAGATAACGATATTTGAATAAAAAACGTGGTTCATTATATTTTTCGAATCCTTAAGAAACACTGCTAGGAGTTACAAAAAAGTTCGAAGGAGCTTCCATGTTTCTGCTCGCCCTCACATATCACAGATCATTACACGAACATTGAACAAACTGAATGTGGTTCTTCTACATCCCTAACGATTTAAAAAAGATTTAAACTTTCCTTCGAAAGTCGTGTATATGTGGAAGCTTCTGAAGAATCTGCCTACTCTAACACGCCATAATTGTTTTAGGGGGGCCCGAATAAATATTGGCAGAAATGATTGCAAATGGAAGTTATTTTTTGATCGACACGACGATCGGTCATTTATTTCCCGCCAATCTAATACGACTTTTTTTTTTTTAATTACAATTTCGCACCGCCTCGTCGAGAAACCGAGAGAAACAGGCACGCAGCGTCGACAGTAGAAGAACAAGAAGCGACGTCGAGAGAAAGCAGCGACGGCTGCGCAAGCGCATTCTTCGTTTATTATAATAATATTCCACGGCGGCAGAAAAACAAGCTGCGATTACAAGACTCTCCCTCACGCTCGATCTCGTTCTCACCGCCTTTCAAAGCACGCGCACCAGTGTTTTGTTCGTTCCGCATTATCGTAATACAAAATACTCGGTTGAAGTTTCTCCGCTACCTTTCAGCGCGCAGGATCACACGTAATAAATCACATTATCATAATACGTTAATATTCACAATTATACAAATAGAGATGTATACACAACGAGGTACAGAATTCCAGAAAAATTATCACACGCTCGCTTTCATCCACGCGTCATCGTCCACGCTCGCGAATTCACCGCATTCGTACAGAGTCACGCGTCCGTTCTGTCACGCAAGTTCGTTCGTTCACAGTCGCGCGTATTCCGTTCGTATAATGTAATTATTATATACCTAAAACACACCGTTCGTATTTTTTTTTTTTGTTTTTTACGTACAAGAAGAAACGTCAATAATCGATAGTTTAATCGTGGCTAAAACATAGAGCGCTGTCGCATGCCTGTATAAAATCCCTAAAAATACTATATACCCTACCAATGAATTGTGTTGGATGACAATAGTGACTATGCGGTGACTGTTGGCTGGTTTTTTTTTTTCTCTTCATTTTCGAGATCGATTTCGGGCCCGCGCCGCGAGACTCCGCTCGTTTCAACGTCGTGCGTTTCCTTTCTCGTTCGATCCTTCCCCGAGTCGCGGTCCGTCGTTCTCGCGGCGACCGCCACGAAGATCGAGTCACGTGCCGAAATAATCGTTCGGTATCCATTTTGTTAGGCCTCGAGGTAGTCCGACGACGTTGACGATTCGTCGATCATCGAATCGTCGGCGTCGGTTCTCGGTGCACCTCGTGAAAAGCGAGTTTCTAACGGAATGCATTGGTTTGCCTTTCTTTTCTCTTCGATTGCTCTCTCTCTCTCTCTCCCCAAAGTCCTGCACTCTCGGTTGGTCGCGATCGAACATTCGTTTCGTCGTTCTCCTCCATCGAGTTCCCCTTCGCCGTTGTCCCCGCTTCTCATTTCCACCCGTTCTCCGTCGTTCGATGCTCGCCTAAGCGCGAGTACGCGCTAGTCGCGCGCGAACGGCGATCCTCGAATTTTTGCTCGAGCGTGTGGCCACGCTTTTCTCGTGTGTCCGTGTGAACGGTGCGCGCCGTGTGGTCACGGCTCCGTCGAAAGACTCGCGTCGGTGTGTTATATACTGTGTGTCGCGTGTTTCGTCCCCTCCCCCACCCCCGTCGCGGTGGACGAACAAACGAATATCGATATATAATATATTCGGTTCGCGATTTATCTTTTTTTTTATTTTGGCTCCTTTTTCTTCCGAGTGGGTTATCCGTTGTGTGCGTGTGTGTTTCTGTTCCGCGTGTTCGTGGTGTGTGTGTGCGTGTGTGTGCATCGTGTGAGATGAAATAGAGACACGGAGAAGGACGGACGCCTCTTAATACACTGCGCCCTCATGGTTCTGTTTGTTCTTTGTTTTACTTAACTCGTTGCACGATTTTTATAAGTCTTTAAATGCCAAAGGTCACTTTTTAAAAATATAGGTGTCTCTCGACTTTGTTTTACTTTGTTTCTCTCTCTCTCTTTCTCTCTCTCTCGTTCGCTCGATCTCTTTCTTCCCACCTCTCGTCCCTCTCAATCAACTCTACTATCTCTCGCTTGTACTCTCACTCAAACTTTGTTACTTCGTCGACCGGTAGCCTAGCAATTGTAATGAAAATAAAGAATATTAAATTTAATTACCCTATGATAACGGATAGCGAACAGTATAGTAAGCACTTTCACGAAGTTTGATTTAACGGTTTCTATATGAGAAAATGCGCGATAGGGTCAACCGCTACCGGTCAAACAAAGTGTCGCACAAAATCCCTTTCGTTATTTACTTAAATCTTTTCTAACGACGTAATTCCCGAATAAATAACGCCCCGTAGTGCGTCGAATTTTCTACCCCTATTTTCGTCGCGACGCGAGGCGTCTCGTCGTCATATTTCTTCCAAATAATTTTTAAACCCTTCAATGATCATCGATTCCATCGCAAATGTAAAATAAAAAATATTTGTAATTCGTGAATCCATAAACAAAAGAATGCAGTGTACATGGATGCTTTAAAATTAATATGAACTGTCTGAAATTGATGCAGAAAGCCTAGCAGGATCCTCGAGAGCGCCCTGAAACCGAGGACGGTCGCCTTGCGTCGCTCCAATCGTTAATTAAATTAACGTCCCCGTCTCTTGTAACCCCCGGCAATGCATTAGCAACGAATTTTCTCTTCCGTTTGCGAAGTCAGACGCTCCGGAACTCGCGCGAGCGTGGCCTAACCGGCTACTAAGCGCCGTGAGATTTTCTCCCTTAAAGCTTACCCCTTCCACCCCCGTTCCAACGACTTCCGCGTAACTAGCTCGCCCGTTTCCTCGTCAGAATTCTGTACAATTTCGCAAAATTCGACGGAGATAGTATTTAGTTCCATTATCTCAGCCCACCCCCCCTTTGCCTACCATTTCGTTATTACTATTACTATTACTATTACGTTATCTCTTCGTCCCCCGTTTTGCGCGCGAAGTTATGCTGATTGCGTTTCGTTTCTTCTTTCCTGTCGTTCCTCTATTCTTCCTGGTCCTTACTCTCTCTCACACGCATTCACACGTTCTCTCATTCACTCTGTCTATTACGTCACGCACGCATCGTCTTCCTCGCTACCACTTAAAGTCCTGTAATTTACAGTTACTATACAACATGACTGAAAATAGCTTAAACCACAATAATACAATTACAATCGTGCTGCGTCCGTGTTTTTATCCACTTCTTACGCGTCTGTCATTCGTTCGTTTACCACTTAGTTCGTTTTTTTTTCTTTTCTCTCTTCTGTATGTATACGTTTAACGTTCCCTCCGAATATTCGTAGTATCTTCCTCCTCGCCGTTCACCTCTGACCTTATTGTACGCGAGTATCATAAAACACTTATGTCCACTTATCGTACCTCGTACAACGATACAGCTTCTTCTAAAAGGTTTCCTTAGAGTTTCTCTTAGGTACTTACACTTCTATCTATGTATATCCACCTATCTATATTTATAGACTTTTTTTTCTTTTATATATAATAACTCTTTTTTTAACACCACCCCGTCCCCCTACCCCTTTTCGTTCTCCTTTTCCTCGCTCTCTTTCCGTCGATCTATTTTGTCTGCCTATCTAAGGTGTCTATCTAACGGTCTAGCTATCCATCTATCTATCTAAACTTCTAACTACCATTTATTAGTTCTTAAGGTGTCCGCACTCTCGCCTTTTATTACCTGGTTGTTTAATTACACGTGCATCCTATCGCTCCTGTTTCTCCGTTTTCGTTCGCCTCCCATCGTGTTTAAAACAAATGCGCTCGCGTCCCTTTCGTACGAACGTTCGTTAAATATACATATATATATATATAGTTTTATATATGTATATTATATATCTACAGGGTTTCGTTGGTCGCCGGGATGAAAACGCGCGAAACGCTCGTCCCGCGATCGCGTCGGACCGCTCGTTAACACGACCCCGTCTCTACCCTTTGTACCTCCTTGTTCGCGCCCTTCGATCGACCTCGTTTCACGATCGGTCGTCGCGCATTTTCCGCGAAGGTTTCGCCAACGAAGGGGATCCCTCGATCCTTTCGAGGATCGAGAGGACGAGGACGGTGGCTCTGTAACGAGAGAGACGATCGCGATCGAGCGACGAGCACCGTTTTCGTAACCTCGTTTCACCTCGCCTACCAGAGACAAAGAAACGAAAAAAAAAAAATAGAGAATAAAGTGTGGTCGGGGCGCCCTCGCGGAAACGCCGCACGACGCCTCGCAATATATGGCTATCAAAAAGACATCTGGCTCTCTCTCTCACACGCTCTAATCCACTCACTCTCACTCTCTCTCGTAATCCTCGTTTATCCTAAATCTTGTAAATGCTGCGTATATATATTTACTTTATTTATAATTATCCGTGAACATGGTAACAAATAATGAAACACTGACAAAAATTGCACAATATACAAACTTAGTGTTCTGCTCTCCAACCGTCTTATCTCTTCCCCGTGGATTCGTATGTGTTCGTTGAACCCCTGCACCCCCCCCCCAAATCCCCTAACCCACCCCCCCCCGGTTTAATCGATTTTTGGAACACATTCTCGCGAGAAAAACAGAACACTCTCATGCACGCGCCCCTCGTAATACGCACCCTCTTCGCGTGCAGACACATTGAATTTACGCGCTCGCGCGCGCGTACACATATACACACGCAGCCACACGCTCGCGCCAACGACGCGTCGACACTCTTCGTCAGTCAGGCTTACTTAGTAGGTACGGTATCGTTTTACGTTCTACGTGCGTTATCAGTTAATTTATTTGGCCACTCAACATTTAAAATTTAGTTTTTTTTTTTTGTTATTTATTTCCCTTATCTTCGTTTTGCTCGCCGACCTCGTAACCCTCTCAGGTAAAGATTAGTCTTCTTAAGCGGTAGAACTCGTCCGCCTCTCGATCGTCCGCTCGATTCTCGGTATTATCGTTATCATTATTACTATATTACTACTCTATTTTGTTCTCCTCTCGTTCGATGAGCGACCCCCATCGGTTCTTCGTTACTCAGACTCCCGGATACGCTTTTCGCGTTGCCCCTTTTCGTCCCTCCCGACAATTCTCTCTCGTCCGACGCGTGATTCTCGAAGATCGACGATCAGCGAACAACGATTCGCGTCCCTGCGGTTCCGAGTCGTTCGAGATCGTTGGATCGATCGGTAATCAGAAACCAGGTTCGTAATCTGCAATCGTAAATCAGCAAAATTTTTAATCTTTCGTAGCTAACGGCGTTCGATTACCGATCAATTTCTCGATCTCCTGTACCTGTGATCGTTAATTACATTTTACACGTCCGCTGTTTTGGGGCACGATGCCGCGCAACGCCCGCCGTCTGGCCTCCGTTCGGCGCGCGCGATCGCGAGAGGAAAGGGGGGGTGGGGGGTTGGAAATGACGCGCCCGGGAAGGGGGGGCCGAGCCTGACGCGTGGAAACGGTTCTAGAGCTTTGTGCGGAATGTTGCCCGTTTTATTTTGTCCCTTATGTATAATATATATATTGTTTCGGTGAGTAAGACGAGAATATTAAAAAATATATATATATTTCATTTATTTCTGTTGAGCCTCCGACGTGAATCTTCTCCCCCGATCCCGAGCGCGACGAACGTCGCCTAGAAAAGCAATCGTACAAAAGTACAAAGTCTGATTCCGTGTTTTCGTGTTTTTCATTCGTTTGTCTAAAAACCCATTGGACGCGCGCCGCTACCGGAAAGAAGCCCCCGGCAATTCCCGTCGAATTCTTCGAGCAAGAACCGGGGGATCCTTCCCGCGAAAAATATCGCTCGCGACGGGCGTCGATGGCGAAACGATCGAATCCGCGACTCGACGGGAACAAAGGGTAACCTGTGGGTGAGGGGGGGGGGGCGAGGGATGGAGGCGTGGGAGGCGCGGAGAAGCGGAGCCTCGCGATGTAATTCGCACTGTAAATTCGGGATTAGCGCGCGACACGGTAAACTTTGCTTCCGTCGAAACTGGCCGAAATCACGTATTCAATTACGGCTCGTCCTGCTTCTCCCCCCCTCCTCCCCCGCGTCCTTCTCCGCCACCCCCGCGGTACCGCGTTGTTCCAGCGCCCCGCGAACAGAATTTCGATTATTGCAGCAGCCCCGGGTCGAAGGATCGGAGCACGATAAGCGCCGCGAGCGCGTTTTCGAACCGCGAACGCCTTTCCTCGAAGCCTCTGTTCGTCGGGAAGAGAGAGAGAGATAGTACGTGTACACGTGTGCGTGTGTGTGTCAGAGAAGAGTGGCGGGAGAAATGAGATAGGAAATAACGTATCTTTTTTGGCACCGACAGACAGCATTATTGTCCTCGCGAACCGGGACTCCTCGACTTTCGTTCGAACTGGTCGCGACGCCTTCGATCGCTCTCGATCCTCTCGATTCGCGTCGATCTTGGATTCAATCGTTTCGCGTGGAGGCAGACGGCTTGCAGGGCACGCGGGCACCGTTTCGTTTCGTCGACGACGGTTGCTCTTTTCCTATCCTCGGTGGGTGGTCGCTCGACCGCGTAGCGACGATCTTAGAATTTAATGAATTGGCAGTGATTACGATCCCGATCGAGACTCCATCGCGCTGGTTTCCAGCTACTCGCGTCCCGGTGGCTCCGACCGATCGATTGCTACGCCTCTGCTTCCCGGTCGTTTCGTCGACGCGCAGAGTATAGCGTCGAGCGTGCTTCCTACGCCGTTGCGTCGCGTGAGACCCGCCACGAGGGGAACGGAAAAGAGCACGCGTCAATCGACAGCGATTTAAACGCGATTCTCGACGGAACGCGATCACCACCGGAAGTGGACGTTCCCCGGCGGCACCGTCGCGCTGATCGTCGATGCTTCGTTGAAATTATCGACGCGTCGGACGTCGAACGATCGTCAGACCGACGAATCCGTGGGACCGTGCGCCCCGTCGACGTGTTCGAGTCATGATTCGATGGATCGTCGGAGGGCGTCCGTGGAAGAAACGCGATCACGAGGACTTCGCGTCGCTGGGCGTCCTCGGGGATCGTCGGGGCAGGAAGGAGCCTCGCGCGCCGGTCCTGGACAGCTACGCGCGTGGAGGACCGCTCGCGGGAACGATCGATTACACGTGTCTCTTCATGTGGAGGGCTAGGTGATCGCTGCGAGAGAAGCATCGATCGCAGTGCCGACACTTGAACGGTTTCGCGCCGGTGTGCTTGCGATAATGGCGCGTCAGCTCGTCGGAGCGCGCGAATCGCCACTCGCAGCCCTCCCAGCTGCACTTGTACGGCTTCTCTCCTGGAACAGAACGGAAATGGGACGTTAGAACAAGGGATTTTGGTTTCTAACACTCTCCTATACTATTCGAAGGCGAGATGGTGACACTTAGGTCTCAGGTTCTTTGGTTATTGTTGGGTAAATCTACGACGAAGTCGAGATTCCCCTTTAGCTTGTGGGTGCCAACATCTCGTCTTTCAATAGTACTGTGCGTTCGCTAGAACTTGACTAGATGGTACGGGGGACAGGGGAGTACTTGGCTCCACCTACTGTTCTTTCGGCCAATGAGACCGTAGACTCGCCAAACTCTAAACTAGAGTGGGGAACCAATCAGCTCCGCATTCCTTTCGCTAGCAAACTTCTCCCAGAGGCACAGTACATTCAGGTTAACCTTCTACGGGCCCGTGTAACTTTCAGGTCACGTGCTAATGTATTGACATTTTTAAAAATTGAATAACGTAAAAGCTATTACAAATAAATATTGCTGTGATTCGAGAAATTAAAAAAGATCCCTTTGCTTGTGCGTCAAAATTGGTAGCAATAGTGGCGATACAGTTTAGAAAAGCTGTTCATCTGGAATTATAGCGAAGATTATTAAGAAAACACCTGTTTTAATGCGCTAGTTCCGAGAAGAAAACTGTATATCAGCCAAAGAAAATAAAATATTAATAAGGATTGGTTTTTTTGGAGTACAGTATTATTTTCTGGCGAAAGTAAATATAATGAGCTTCTGTACGTCTTTCCTTGCGGACGATCTCGCGAACGTTCACTCAGATATGCAAATGCACTGTATCAAATAATGACGAAAGGAATAACGCGCGTATGAAAATTTCTCGACGACGACGCGGGATCGGTAATTAACATAATAGAAGGCAGCAGGGGTAGTGCTTAACATTATCACCGTCGGCAGTCTAATAAAGTTTATGAACGCCGGGCGTCGTAACCGGCCGATATTTCGCGACACAATGCACAGGCGGTCGGTGCGCGCAGTGAAAAGGGGTTTTATTGTTCGGAACACGCGCGTCTACCCTTAAAATTACTAAAACCAAGGGGTGCATATAAAATCCTACCGCCTCCGGGACGGCGGATCGGCGATAAATCGTCGCGGTTTAAAGGCGGCGCGGATTCCTCGAGCGACACGCGCGGCAGCGACACGTAGATGACCAGCCACGGGGGATGATCGGGGATGAAAAAGAGGACGATGGCGCGTTATTAACTCGTAAATAATCTATTCGGTAATGCGCAAACTGACTGACGTTGATGAGACCCCGGGCAGGGAAAATGCGGAGAACGGTGTTGCGCGAAATGTAATTTCGTTAATGATTAACAATTATAATTGCCGTGTAATTAAACTAGTAATTAATGATTCCGTACGCGCATTACGTCTGGAATAGAATGTACTCGATATAATTAAAACGAATATCTGTAAAATAGCCTTGCCCCCTGAAATTAACTATTTATTTTATCAAGCTTTTGCAAATCATGTATTTGAACGAAGTAATTTCTCGTTGTACGATTGCAGATTGCTACAGTGCTTATCTTAAATATACCAACCCCTTAAAATGTAAGGAATTTTATATTTTGAAAATAAATTAAGCCACGAGGCATTTTTCTTTTAACCCTTTATAACATATATATTAAAATTTTTGTTAATCTAGATAACTAGACACTTAAAGATGTCAAATAAAACATATTACAGGCAAAACAAAAACACAATCCAACTGCTGGAAATATAATGAGAATGTTATAAGTTGATATATTAATGAAACGCTTGAAATTTAGTATTTTACACTAACGTATTATAATTCTTTTTTCTTTAAATTATTCTAAAATGTCGCATCGTCGTTATCTTTTCCTAATCTGTCGATATATTTAACTATAGAGGGGTGGGTATATTTATGATACGCACCGTATAATTACTATTAATTATTATTATTTTACAATTAATTACAAAAGTAATCGCGATGTAATCGATTTATGGTTCAACCCTGACGCGTGATTACCACCTGTGGCGCTTTGCCATCGAGTTTCACAGACCGGTAGACTTTGTGCCGTGGCAAGAGACGCAGAGGAAGGGGAACGGGAACGTCGGAAGGCAGACGGAGAGTCGATACGAGGAACCTTCTATTTTTGAGGAACGACGATCCTCCGGAACACGGAGTACGGCCTGAATTGCGCCGAGGGAAACGTCACGTTGAAGCGTCCCGAGTCCGCGATCCGATTTTCGAGTAAATAAAACGTCGCTCAAAACGGAAGCCGGAGTTTGAGGTGGTCTCGACGAGACCTCAGAATTTCCCATCAAGGCTCGAAAAAGTTCGCGGATGTAGCGACACCCGGTAACTTCGGAGGGCACGTCGAAGGCACCGAGAAACCTCGACGACGTCGAAAATCGTAGTTAAAAGGTTCGGTGACGCTTCGTCGAAGGGTTTCGTGGACGAGGAACCCGGGAAACATTTTCCTGGAGAACGAGGAACGTTCGAGCGACCGGATCGGGGTAATTGAGGGGTGGATACGCGGTTGTTCTTTCATAAAAACCGGACATAAAAGGAAGCCTAATGACAGCCACGAAGATACGGCGATATAAACGCGGGTATAAAACCGCGATATAAAACGTTCGACATCTACATCGCCCAGTTCTAAAGTTGATGAATTAAAAAGAGGAAAGGGAGGGTAGAGAGGCCCCCCCCCCGGAGCTTTCGCGCGACTTGCATTCGCGCAAAGTGGCGTTTTTATTGTCGCGCGGTTGTTTGCGGGAGGCAGGGAACGCGTCGCGAGTAATTCAGACGCGGTAATATCTCAGCTGTGTAACGTGCCGCGAACACGTCGGGCTGATTCTAAAAAAATTTGCACAACCAAACTGTTATTTTCTTCTGTTATGATCATTATTGCCATTTATATTATCGCGGGTACGCGTCTACTCTTTTGTACGCGCTTGTAAACGACTCTGGGGAAATGGAACGAAGAAGACCATCGTAAAACTCGTAAATTGGGTAGATTACTATTCCGCAACTTTTGTTTCGACGACTTCTTGTTTGCTGAAAGTTCCCTTTACCCGCGATAATGATACGTTTTACTCGTAAATGTGGAGGGTTATTAAAAGGAGGATATCTATGATTTGTAAAACGTGATTTGTTGTAGCACTGTTTGGTAACATACACGATTTTTGTTATTACTCATTGCAAGTGCTTGTATTAACTTTAGAAGAAATTTAGGATTAAAAATAGAAAAATTAAGAAGTTATCTTGTCACCCATGCATTAACTCTTAAGTATCCATGCAATTCCTCTCAACGAATTCGATTGGAGCGTCATCCCTCGCCAAAAGACATTCCAGAGTAACGACTGACGATCGCCCATCGGGGGGTGGGTCAAGGGGAAAAATTTATCGTACCCCCAGCGTTGTGCCCCCGAAGTTGTTCCGAGAAAGCTCGTCTTTTTCAGCGGGTTCCGTCCTCCATCGCGGAGAGGTGACGACGACAAATCCAGCCCGGACGTGGCGACGCATAACCAAATCCAATCCCTCGTGCCATCCATCCCCTGACACCACCCACCCTCCCGTGTCACGCAGTGGCTCCTTCGACAGACACCCGACCTAGCGGAAGCCGCGACTTTTCCGGAAAATACGGTGCACACGTACTCGACACCTCGCGCGTCCGCGATCAGCCCTCTCTGGGGGGCGAAACACACTCGCCCCTCGCGTGTACGGACATCAGCCAGAGAAATGGCGGCACCTTCGCCCCACCAGGGTCGGGAATTGCCACCTCTCGCGGTGAAGAAGAGGAATTCTTCGAACGATAAGGATAAATCGTCGCTAGACGTGTCGAAAGTAGGTCGGAGGACTGGAATGTACAAGGTATATTCTAAAACGGGGGACCCACATCCGTGGCTAATTAAGGGTACAAGTGTAAATAACAAATTTCGTATAAACGTGTACCTTGATTGACTAGTTCAGTTGTAATTATTGTTTCATTTCATCAATGTACAAGGTTGTCAAGTATAAGGTTGTGCATGCTCTATTATAGAATTCTATCTGTTGAAGCTCGTTATTTAACGCTTAACACTAAACCTACCACGATTCTTGGTTCAGTTTCCACATCTCTCTCCATCTTAGAATAGTCCAGCAACACGTATTAAAAGTGCATAAACTTTACTCGCGTACAACTCTGAAGCCATTCATGTTATATCCATAATTGAGCCATTGTTAGAAGCGGCAAAGCTTCCTCTTTAAAATGGCTTTTGGTTTTCGTCGATCCGACTTTCCGTTTTCGAGATATCGTAATTTAAATGAAGTGGTAATTTTTAAAATTCCGCTCTCCGCCTCAGAAAAGGCTATTAACGCGCATTAAAAATAGTTAAACTTTAGACGCGTGCAGTTCCGAAACTATTCGTGTTTTATTAATTATTGAGCTATTGTTGGAAGCGGCAAGGCCTCCCTTTTAAAATGGTTTTTTGTTTTTGTCGATACGACTTTCCGTTTTCGAGATATCGCAATTTATGTAAAAGGGTATTTTTCTTAATTTGACTATCTCTGTCTCCGTCTGACGCGTCGCGTCGTACCTCTTTGTCGCGCGTGAGTCGAGACAGTCTCGTGACCAGGAAGTCGTAGTATTTCCAAGAATTTACTACGCACTGTTTACTACTGTTGCGCGCGCGCGAGTTCATTCATCTCAATGAACGTAAACAAACGCTTCGGACCCTTGTAACTCCGAAACTAGCCACCGCATCGACTTCAAACTAAAATCGCTATATCTCCGGAACTAATAAAGCTATCGACTCGTTCGAACGCTCATTTTAAAGGGCATTTCATCCTCTATCAGATGACTATAACAACTATTATAATTTATGCTATCTTCTATGTTTATTTTCACATTTACTTTGACTCTACATATCTAAAAAGGTTTCAGTCCACCCATTTCTGCATATATTCGACTAAATATACAAAGAGCGACGTGGGTCGAAGAAAAAGCTAAACAAGAAAGAAATAATGCGAAATCCCACGGTAATTATTTTTCAAAATTGTATA